ATGTCCCGGCAGTCACATGACCCTAAACCCCACCCCACCTCCCGGCTTCTGAAACCCTTAAAGGACCAGGAGGCGCTGGCGCCAAGGGATTAAATTACTGTGCCTAGGGCAGCCGCCCCTCCTGCCCCCTTGTCTTGGCCCTGCTTTATAGATGCATCTTCTTGGCCAGTGCCAGTAAAGCTGTTATGCTTTGTAGAGTGTATGTTTTTGTCTCTTCAGTCTGCAGGTACCCCTGTGGTAAATGCAGGTTGTATTGCACATGGAAAATGGGTCAAAGCACATTTCATCTTGCTCAAGAAAACAGGTCTGAGCAGACTGTGCTCATTACAATGTGATGTTGTGCAGTGTCCTGCTGTCTTTGTGTATTCCAGCATGCGTTTACATTAGAGTGATATGTAGGTTGTGACTGTGTCTTACAATGCATAATGTGTTTGGTGGCATCAAGTAGTAGTAAGATGTATCTGTAAAGACACATCTATTGGCCGTGTGCAAGAGCTTTTAGACTGCAAAACCATTCCTTAAGCCAAATCTAGACTTGTTTAGTAGGGAGCGGCCGAGATTCAAACCCTCTATGGACAGGCTGATTGTACCCAAGTACAGGAAAGAAAATTGCATCATCTATGGCCTTCCTTAGTATCCCTACTCTTCCTTTAGTGGTAAAGATAACGGGATGTGACCTCTGGGATTGGGATCATCAGATTTGGAGAGTTGTGCAAACAGGTAAAGCACATCACTGCAATAATGTTACCAATTGGAATCAAACTTTGAAAGTGGAAATAAGCATGCATCCAGTGGGGTCTGAAAAGTCTGGTTTCCAGTCCTACTGGTCTTGTTCAGTGCCAGTGACTTCATAGAGAGTGCAGTCAGGCTCAGGAGAGTTCCCCGGAAACTACTCCCTTAAAGTGTTACTAAACCCAGGACCCTGAATTCAATATATCTAGTCTCTCACAGTACACACTACATGGAGATGCAATTATTTCAATAAAAATAAACAGCTAAATACCTTTTCTCATCAGTAGTTAGTGCAGTCTTGTGACTTCTAGCAGTGTACAGCCAAGCACTGGTTAAAGCTTGTAGGAGGAGCTTTCTTTCTGTTCTAGGAGGATGACCTCTGTCTGGACAACGCTAACTGGCCATGTGCTGATCACATGCACTCTCCCAAAGAAAAACAAAGAAAAACACGAAACTGAGCATGTGCAGAGTATCTCCACATGATATGTGTTATCAGGAGATAAGAGGGGGACACTGGAAGAAGAGGAAAATCAGAGAAGACAAGATCAAACAGCATTTTTACACAATGCAAAGGATTAACCCCTTAGGTTCCACAGTAAATATAACATGCATGCTTTACTGCATATACAGACTGATTTTACTGTTGTGAGTTTAGCAACACTTTAAAGCATAACACTAACCAATACCTTTTTGTTAGTATTATTTGTTTTGTTCTAAGCAGAGTGGAGAATACTTAAATCCTTTGTCAGATTTTTCTTGCTGTTTGTTACCTCGTGGCTCAAATTTCCCCTTCCTTTTCAATTGACAGGGAGTCACAGGGATATGAAATGAAAGGATAGCTCTTAATAAGAAAAGAAACATGTAAAATAATATTTTTTTTACTGCGTCAGATACCTGTTCATGTTATGTTCTGTTTTCACAAGATTAGAGTGAGCAGAAATTCCCCTATGGGCATCACATGCAACAATAAAAATGTCTACAACGCTATAGAGAACTAAAAATACTGAATGGAATGTAGATGTCGTATGCGCCTGAAAAACTTTTCTACAGTTGTTAGGTAATGTCCGGGTTGATATAGGTTCTTGTTCTACCCACACACACTCACATAAAGTGCTCTTCTTGAAAATGACCTAAAATAAACTTCTCCAGATCCTGTGAATATGTATTTTAGATGACAACTGTAAAGGCTTCATACCAATCAGTTCATGTATTTCCAAGGTATACTACTGGATAGTTTTAACTAGTAATGAGGGGGGAGGGGGGTAATATTCACCTTCAATTGTAGTAGAATTGTAGTGCTGAGCCTTGACCTTTTTGTATAGTATACATAAAGGGGATATCCTATAAACATACTGGAAAAAAAGAGTGGTCTCAATTGGATATGTTAAATAGGAAGGTGTGTCATAGTGAGAATAAAAGGATGCAATTGGGTAACAAATGCCGTTGTTATATTCTCACCATGACTTACCTTCCTATTCACCGTATCCAATCAAGACCACTCTTTTTTTCAGTATGTTTATAGGATATCCCTTTTATGTATATTACAGTATACATAAAGGTCAAGGCTGCAGCACTACAATTCTTTCTCTTTTATTTAGTGAATAATATTCATAATAAATACAGAATCACATTCTCTGTTCCATCATCAAGCAAGCTTTATAACAACACGTCCTTTCTCAGGCTAGAAAAACTGAATGAAATCACACAATCTCAGTGTTTATGAATACAAGGGAACCAGATACTCAGCTTTTGATCATTAATTTGAACATTGAACACACATGCACAGTTGAGTTCATCATCTCAGAGATCGATCTTCCAAAAAAACAATGTATATAGACACATATAGCTTCTTATCCATAGCCAAACATTTCTAGATTATACAAAAAATAGTAATAAACAAAAACACTAACACATTATTAATCACAAAAGACCATAAAGAAACATAAAATAAAAATCCCTATAAAATAAATGGAATCAAAATTAGTATTAAAGTGGTTGTAAAGGTAAAGGGTTTTTTACCTTAATGCTCCCTTACCTTGTGCTCCCTCTGCAGTCCCCCCCCCCAAATACTTACCTGAACCATGACCTCTCATGGCTCTCATAAGCTTGGCTGAGAACAGCAGGAGCCATTGGCTGTCAGTCAAAACCTGTTAGCAGACAGCAGGGGGGGGGGGGGGGGGGGGGGGGGTAAGAATAGATGAAAACAGCCCGGATCGGGAGTGCCCCCATAGGAATCAGCTTGCCATGGGGGCACTCAGTGGGGGGGGGGGGGGTTGTGCCAGGAGCACCAATGGAAGACCTGTAAAGAGAATAATCAGGGCAACAGGTAAGTATGACGTGTATTATTTTAATGGAAAAAAACATTGAACCTTTATTATCGCTATAAGCCTGAGAGATTGCATAGTATATAACTGTTCAATCCAATATACCTCCTTCTTCTTCAATAATGAGTCTCTATCACCCACTCGTCAATTTTTTAAATTGTGATCTAATATCATAAATGTCAGTTGTGACACTGAATGAGAGCACGCCACAAAATACCGTGCAACTGTCAACTATACTAGTTTATCTCTAATTGAATTAATTTTAACCCTGTATTCCAAATGTTGATGAGTGAAAAATGTTGCCTTGATCATATGAGATGCAAATAAAGCATGGAAAGGAGCCAGTATTGTGAGCTCCTCAAGCATATATCCACAGACCTTACCACATAACTCAAAATTGTCTTGCCTCTTCTGTAAGATGAAAATGGTAGATGTGTAAATTCTGCTATTCCTGGATCATTTATTTCATTGTCCCATGTCTTTTAATGATAGAATAGATGTATTTCAAAAAAAGGATGCAATTAGGTAACAAATGCCATTATTTTATTCTCACTGTGCTTCTTATTCACCATATCCAATCGAGACCACTCTTTTTTCAGTATGTTTATAGGATATCCCCTTCTCATGTAATTGGTTCTCCATTTCATAAAGCCTCTTGTCCATATGTTACATTATGCAGATGTAAATATAAATAATTTCTGTATTAAGATAGTTATGCATCACAGATTCTCACAAAACGTGAATAAACAATTATCTGCTTCTTAAGAAATTCACCCAGTTCATTTTGTCATTTTTATCTGTTTACCCCTCACTCCATTGTTTCCTGCTCTTTTCTTTCTTTCTTCTTTCTTTTTCTTTCTTTCTTTCTTTCTTTCTTTCTTTCTTTCTTTCTTTTTCTTTCTTTCTTTTTCTTTCTTTCTTTCTTTCTTTTCTTCCTTCCTTTCTTCCTTTCTTCCTTTCTTCCTTTCCTTTCTTCCTTCCTTCCTTCCTTCCTTCCTTCCATAGCTTCTTTAAGAACAGGTTGTAGAAAAGCGGTTCCCTCTCTACAAACACCAATCAATACTGGCAATAGGGTTAGGTGTCCTAAAGAGCATTCAGAAACAATCTATCTGTCTTTTATCGTTTCTATGATTATCATCTCTTAGAGTATAATTATAGTAAATAAAAGGATTCCTAGAGATTCCACTGCTCCAGTTCCAATGGAACGGACTTAAGGCTTGTATAGATGAGCTTTGTTGTTCTGTATTTAACTTGTGTTTGAAGCTTTCTTTGATAAATAAAAACATCTGCAGATTTTTATTTAATTATGTAGTGTGAGTGACCGTTCACAGGCAGCATTTGACCTGTTTTGCATTTCTTTGAAACACTGTCAGTCTGAAGATCCATTCCTACTTCTCCAAATGTTCCTCAGCTGCAGGCAATGGCAGATCAAATGCAACCTCTGTGCTTGTACTGCGAATAGCAGGTGAAATGTTACTCAAACATTTGGATGGTACAAGTTTGACAGATGCAAACCAGCAAATGTGTTCACTCATGTCTAGTACTATACAAATTTACAAACATTGGTGTGTACTCAGACCTGTAGGTTTATAAAAAGCATCCTGAATTACATTCAGCTAACAATAAAATCACATTTCAATGATTAATTTTAGTTTATTTTTAGTTGTCAGTTTCTGTGCTGGGTTGATATAGGCTCTGGTTTTACTCATATACTCTCACATAAAGCATATCCTGAAAATGACCTCAAATAAACTCTTTCAGATCCTGTGGAATATGTATTTTAGATAACGGTAAGGCAACATATCAATCATTTCATGTATTTCCAAGGTATACCGCCATATATAAAAATTGAATGGTTTTAACTAGACACAGTTTTTATACTAAGAGGGGGATTTTTAGCATTTGACACTTGGCTTTTAATTCCAGTGATTATCTTTTTTTCAGCTTTACAATTTGCCACAAGACAGAAGTAGTGAAGAACACATTAAACCCAGTCTGGCAGGCTTTTAAAATTCCAGTCAGAGCTTTGTGCAATGGGGATTTTGACAGGTAAGACAGTGACACATTCTGATCTTTTATCAATTTGTAACATCTTCAGACTGTATTTTGATATTTTCAGTTCTAGTATTGTGATGAGCATTCCAATAAGAACAGTGTTAGATCATTTACTAAATATAAGCAAGGGGCAAAGATTCTGAATACATGTTGACACCAACACTTCTTGAGACTCTTCTCTTTAAATTCAACTCTTTTTTTTTTTTTTGAAGATTGAAATTTGGTATTCCATTAATTAAGAATGGATATAAAACAACAGTTTATAATCTGTTTTTTATAAATAAATGCTTAATACAAGGTGCTTAATGTTATTATGTTTGTACTGCTTGTAAACCCAGCACTAAATGGGGTAAGCAGGTTTTCCCCTCCTCTGAGCTATGTGTTTAACCTAATAGGCTCCTCTTCTAGTCGCAACATTGTTGTAAACCAGCTTTCTGAAACTAGTATGCCTGTTAAATATGAAATAAAAAAGAAGACATATTTTTTTTTCTTGAACATAACACTTAAGGCTGAATTCTAGGAATTCAGCAACTTTGTAAAAGGTGAAAGGCACTCTATGAGTTAAGTCCAAGGAGGTGCCTGCCACCCCTTGGGATTATCTCTATTGTTTATACTGTATCTGACAGGTTTAGTGTGCTCCAGCAGCAAAGCTTTAGGAGCTTCAAAACTGGACTCAGCTGGTCTCAGCTCCTTCAAGTGTAGAGTCGGTGCAGCTTCTGTGTCTGCCTCTCCCCTCCTCTTACCCAGTCACAGAAGCCTTTGTATTGTGCGAACTCAATCCAAAGGCTTCTGTGAGTGGGCAGCAGAGGAGGAGGCAGACATAGCTACTCTCTGTGGTTCTCTTCTCCGAATATAAAAATTAGAGATAATATTTGGGCTTAACTCATGATGTGCCTGCACTTTTTACAAAGTTGCTGAATTCATTGAATTCAGCTTTGAAAATAGATGGAAAACAATCACATCTTTCCTTTAAAGTTAAATCTGTTCCTGAATTTAAGCTACAAAGGTGAGGTAAGTACTGAATTGCAGTCACTGCAGAGTGCTTAATCAGTACCTGCTTTTTGAGGGAAAAAAGGTAGTCACAACACCCAAAATACTATGGCTATAGAAAAAACAAGTATATCACCTCCCTCTCCCTCAGTACTACACCTGGTCTCTGTCAGGTGATAACTGGGAATATGAATAAATCTATGCAGATACGAACATGTCAGTAGCTGCCAAAAAAAAAAAAAAAAACTTTAGCAGTACTATGAACTGATGTAGGCCAACTCATTCAAATCAATGATGAGCTTGAGCATGTTCAGACCAGTGCCTGAACCCAAGTGTACAAGCTTGCCAGGAAGCTGTCGCTGGTATTGGCAAATCACCTACGGCCAGGGCATTTTCCACCCTTAAGGAGAACATATACATGTCCTATGTATACATGCAGCTGCAGGCAACAGCTTCCCAACGGGCTTACATACAGTATGTGGATCCAGCTCCTAGTCTGAACATGCCCAAGCTCATCACTACTGCTGATATCTTGCCTAGTAGTTTAAGATAAACTGTCATGGGAAATGAAGGCTGACATTTCTGCTATACTTTCCTTTTGAGAATGCTAGTTTCCAAGCTTTCATGTTGATGCAGTCTGAGTCACTGAAGCAGAACAATTATAAAGATAAGAAATTCTGACACTTTTGTTCCAAATCTGTTAAGTTGGCCATACACTGTTCACATCTCAGCCAGTTTCAGATGAACCTAACTTAATTTTCTTAGCATGTGGCCCTATTGGCCCTCTTCTGCCCAACATCATTCAATTAAAAAAAATAAAAGGAGCTAGGTTGAAAATTGTTGGCCAAACAGCAGCTGCATCCATTCAGATACCGCTGCTGTTTATAGGACAATAGTTGCAGTGGGAGATTCATCTGTCAGATTTTTTTTTTTCATTTAGCTCGACTTCATATCAGTCGAAAACATGCATACTGCATTTGCTTCACTTTCTGCTGCCTTCTGATACAAAGACATAACCATGAAACGCTGTCAGCGCCTGGGTTATAATTGCTCTTGCATTCCAGACACACATAACTCCATTCCTTCTGCATCCATTCTGTGAATACCCCACTGGAGATCCCCTCACTGTAGCAATGGTGGATCACAGGCGCAAGAGAGCTGAGACAAAAGGGTCAACTAACACAAACTCTGCCAATGTCCCACAGGAAATTCAAAACACCACTCAGGGCGATCGCTGATCCATTGTCTCAGAACATTGTTTTATTATGCCATTCCCCTCCTCTGACTCTAGCTCTCTCTCAGGTTTCTGCCATTATGTCTGAATTCTTCAGAAACTCTTGGCACTTCTAGAACCTTCATTTTCCACAGGCCAAAAACACTGCAATGCCTCTCCCTCTTCCTCAACTGAGTTAATGAATCAGAAATGAAGCCCCCTAACCTGTCTGAGGATGAAATGCTCAGGATCTTGTGGTTAAAAGCTTGGTCTGCTGAACCTGCCTGTAAGAGGTGATTCTTACGTATGCCTTTGAAGGTGAACGTTTGTTTGGGGAATCTCTTGATAAATTCATCAAGGAATTAATTGGAGGGAAAGGTACTCCTACCCCAAATGAAAAATCCTAATCTGTCATTTCAGAAGGGTACAAAATAGAATTTCTATCTCTGCCCCTCCCTGCTTCCTACCATCTAATCTGCCATTTTTCATCTAAAAAAACAGGCAGATTTACTGGCTGCTTTGTAACAAATTTTAGTTACAAGAGGTTTTTTGTGGGCCTGTTGGCAGTTCTGTTTGTTGTGTTGTTGCCCACCCCTCAGTTTTATTGCTTGGAGAAGTCCCATGGTCTATGACTACAAACCATATGTCCTGCACTGTATGATAAAGATAAAGGGGATTTTGACTTACCTTTAAATCCCTTATTTTGGTGTACAGGACAGAGGACATTTCCCTCTGTTTCCTGTGGTCACTTCTTATTGCTTGTTAAAAAACTGAAGTTTTGCGGAATGGGTTGGGTTATACAGTATGAGCATGCACTAGGAGCAGCCCTAGCAAAGTTTTTGCCAGTGACCAATCACGTGAAGATAGCCTTCCCATAATGCAGGCAACAATGTGCCAAGGTAAGAACCTAAAGCAGGATTCAGTGCCCAAAGCATACATTATAGGCTGGCCCCAAACAGTGGAGTCTGAGTACAGTCCCAAAGGTGAACAGTGGGAGTTACCAATCTGGAAACTGCTAGAAAGTCTATGGCAATAAACAGTGACATCTTGATAGAAATGTCGGAAGAAAAAAGAAATGGTTAAAAAAAAAAAAGAAGAGGTCCATCACCTAGGACACTATCAATAAAACTGGAGTCTCATGGAGTGGGTGGGGTTATAAAAGCGTGCACTAGGAGTGGCCCTAGCAAAGTCCTTGCCCATGTTCTAGGACAAGAATCCCTGTGGAATTTACAAGAGGTCTGATTTCTTTTTTTTTTTTCCTTTTTTTTTGTTGTACACTTGTTTCTGGCCAGATAGTGTGGCCAGATAGTGTGTGATTAAATTAAATTTAGGGGGCAAGCTATATGGGGATGCATCCAAATGGTAGCTTGTTTGGTTATATCCATTGCAGTTTTATTTTTAAAACTTAATTTTGTTTTTGGCCAGATAATATTGTGTGATCAAATTAAATATAGGGGACAAGCTATGTGTGCATGCACTTAAATTGTAGCTTGTTGGCTTATATCCACTGCAGTTTAATTTTTGAATATTAGCTGTGTTTTGATAAAACAAGACAACTAGAAATCATCCTTATAAATTGGTTTGATTCTGAACTATGTATTGTGTTAGATATAGTATAATATATACGATATTTTTGTATTGGTAAATTATTCATATAAATTGGTTGTATTTCTACTCTCACTTATTAAGATTACATTGTGATTGTATCACTCATCATCATTGTCCAAATACTGTATTCGTTTCACATTGTGTAATGCATTTTCATTTTGTTTCTGTTGACAGAACAATTAAAGTAGAAGTCTATGATTGGGATAGAGATGGAAGGTATAGTAGCAGAAAATGGTTTATCAATAGCAGACCTATATTCAAATGCTTAATTAAAACTATTTCATGATGTAATAAGTATCTGGTTTCCTTCTGTGCCAGTCCTGTGACTAAAAACCTGGGAATTTAGTGATCTATGCTGAAGGGGTGATCACCGAATTTAAACCTCATCAGAGATTCCATCTTTAATTCATCATGATAGGACTGTTAACATAGCTTTAAGTTTACATTTGCACTAAGTGGAATAATGCTCATTGGTTCAAACAAACTATTTACTTCACTAAGAGATGCAGTGGCTGTGTGAACTGTATGTAGCCTCAGCTACAACAGTATACAGCGCTGTGTTCGAACAGTGGGATGGAAATTTTCCTTCTCACTCCCAGAACAAAATCGAATCTGTCTAAGCAGCACTCAACCTTTCATTCTGTGAATGAATACAAAGCTTCATCTGATTGGCTGAGTTGGAGAGGTGGGCTGATTATGTCACGAACTTCAACTCAGCCGATTAGAGGAAGCTTTGTAATAGCTGACCATATTTAACTGGTATCCTAATTTTTAACATGAAATCCTATGCTTTAAAAGTTTTCCTTCAATTTTTTAGCCTGTAGTTATTTCTGACTTTTTTTTAACTCATCACCAATAAAAGAAAATTTCCAATGTTAGCCTATTTCAGACATACAGTACATACTCTGTCAGGAGTCTATTTTTATTAAAGAGTAACATTTAAAGTAAAAATGTAGTGTTGTAATAGCCACTTTAGTTTATTTGTTGATATAAGCATTTAATGGGATCCTTTGTCTCATTTATAAATATTGGGTAGGGAAAAAACATTTATTATTTTGAAATATTGGCAAATATGTAGATTTTGTTAAATGGTCTATTTCAAACTTATGACCAGTCATGACACTACAACAATTTTAACTATGTTTTTTCATTTTCTTTTGTAATTAAACATGGTGCATACCATATATTTCAGCATGCCTTCTGTGCTACAAAATATCAATCTGTCAGCAGGAAATTAAATTATATTTTATAAAACAACACAGTTAAACCCTTGTTTACAAGTTTGCATCAGCATTTTTTATAGATTGCAGAATTATCTTAGTGAAACCTATCCATCTAAGTCGGAAACATAAAATATGTACACAAAAAATAAACAGCTGTTGGCTCTGCAGAGTTTGCATATTTGGTTAAATTGCTGATCAGAAGTCAGTACCTGTGAAATAAAAATGCTTTTCCTGCAGCACCTTGTAGACATTACCAAGTATCTAAAAGTGCTAAGCAAGGCATTGGCATTAGTCTTTTGGATTGGTGGAATGAATACAAATTACACAAGCTTTAAAGATTGCTTCTCTACAGAACCATGCAAATAACTGAAATCCACTAAATGGAATTACTGAACGCATGTTCTGCTGTGACAAAATGTATCACTTATTGTGGCAGAAATCAACATTTTTATTAAATCAGGTTAAATGTGTATTATCATTTACATGTACTGCCTGCTACATAGCTTTCTGCATTCCTGATTCTCCTATTCACTACAAATCTACCAGACAGGGTCCATCTGATTAAAGTGCATTTACCCCCCGGTAACATCAAGTCCGACTTGGAAATTGTGCGACTTACAGTGAAGTTGCACGATTTCAAAGTCGGGTGACCTGCCGATTTCAGGTGCGATTTGCACAACATCTGACACAGATGTCTATGCAAATCGCACCAAAAGTAGTACATGTACTACTTTAGAAATTGGTGTGGCTCCAACCAAGTCAAAACCACACTGATTTGATCGTTCTAATTGCAGACAATAGGGTGCGACTTGGCATACAATTTGCAAGACGTATGGCATGCAAATTGCATGCCAAGTTGCATCCAATGTGACCGGGGTGTTATTGTCTGATATCCTGAAACATTCTCTATGCTCTTGGTAGCCACATTTGATGTCTTATAACTCACTGGATCTCAAGTAGTTGTACTGTTGTAATGTTACCATAATAATTTTAGTGTTTTGGAAAATACTAATTGTATATAAAACGTATTATTATGTAATTTAGCTTTGTTGGAATTATTTGTTGTATCTTTTTTCTTTCTTGTGCTTCCAGAGATTTCAAGTTTAGGCTGGGAATAAGATTTCTCAGTCACTGTCACTTGCAGCTGGCATGCATTGTTTCTGCATTGTTATATAATTTTGTACATACCATTTAACCTCCCTGGCGGTATGATTATTTCAGATTTTTGGTGCTGAAAGCGGTACCATTTTTTTGCATGGAAATATGTATTTTTTTTATTGTAGGCTGTAATTTTTAGGAAAAACTCACTGAAATCTGTCCGAACAAGAGTCTAGTAAACATCCCGGGTATGATAAAATTTGAAACACAAAATCATAAATTATAATTTAATAAATAATCATAAAAATAATATAAAAATAATAAAAAAATTTAATTCAATAATATAATCAAACCAAAAACACTGAAATGTGAAATAGAGCGCCAAGTTCTCACATTGCTGAGCTCAGTCGCAAAATCGTTTTCAGTTTCTGATGACGAATTTCCCCACGAATCATTATCACTCAATTCTGCAAGTGGTTCTGATTTACTATCGCTGTTCTCTAGCTGATCTAAACCCGCTTTTGACCTAAAGGGACACTTTTTGGACGCCATGGACATTTCTCAGTTTCCAGGCAGAAAGAACAGACAAAATGCAGGCAGGGCGCAGGACAAAGCACTAGGGACAATATGTATGTGAAATAGGTTGAAACAGCAATGTTTTACTGTGTAAAATGAAAAAAAAAAAAAAATGACATTTTTTAAAATTTTTAAATTTCCCGCCGCCGGCGGCGGCGGCGCCCGTACGTCCCGACGTCACAGGGACAGGACACAGAAGCCGGATGCCGGCATCGGCCGGAGGAGATGGCCGGGGACGCTGCAGGGGACACATCGCGGGAGCGCAGGGTAAGGTAAGTGAAGAACACATGCCGGAGCAGTGCCGCATGGTATTCCCGAGTGTAGCTCGGGGTTACCGCTTTTGGTACTGAAATGTTACCCCGAGCTACACTCGGGAATACCGCCAGGGAGGTTAAAGGACCAGTCCACTCTAAATTTATATTTGAGCTACCAGTGGAGTCACATATAATTAAATAATTGGCATCCCATATCATTTGAGGACTTGAGTAGTAAGATCTCTGTGCAATAAATGCTGGTGCTATTCACACTTACCTTTACTTTTGGGGTATTTCTAGCCACCACTGGAGATTTCCAATCCTTTTGTTACATTGTTCAAATTGTAATAAAATAGTGTGTAGTAGGACCCCTTCTAAATATTGCAGGTATCCATTCTTGACAACTCAAGTACAGGCATCATCCCGGTACAACCACTTATGCCCCAGGCTGGCATATGGGGGTTTATTTACTAAAGCTGGAGAGTCCAAAATCAGACTCCCTTCTGCATAGAAACCAATCAGCTTCTAACCTCAGCTTGTTCAGTGAAGCTTTGGCAATGAAACCTGGAAGCTGATTGGTTTCTATGCAGAAGGGAGTCTGATTTTGGACTCTCCAGCTTTAGTAAATAAACCCCATGATGTCCATCCAGGGGGAAGTGGTAAGATCCCTTTACATTGGGATCCTCAGGAGAAATAACACTAAGGTAGTAAAAAAACACACCCCAAGAGAATCAACAGTAAGTATAACACAAACCTAAACCCACTGCACATCATCATTTTTTTTATAACTATGCTTCTCTAACCTCAGGTTGTTAAACATTTTTATACATTCATCTACCATCATTTAAGGCTCAGGTCATCTTTAGGTTCCAGAATGCACACAGCTAGTGGCAATCATGTAGTCATTGTGGAACAAACAGTGGCTCTGCCAGATCTCTTAATACCTCATGCAGCCAGTAAACTCCCCAGCATGTTATCCTATGTGTCCATGCACACATAGGCTTTTATCAATGTTTTTTGGCAGGGATGTTGTCAGGTTGGAAAAAAACCCAGAACTACTGCGTTTGAAGAGGAGTTTGTCAGCTGTAAAAACACTCTAACACTGTTAAATGTGGCTAAACATGGCAAAACATGGCTAGGTGCATTTTTGAGCCTCAAGCATTTTTTAAGCAATGGACTTCAGCAATTTTCATTACACAGTAAATTCCTACATTTCCCAGTGTGGTGTGCTGCTCTTGCTTTCATTGTCTAACATATGTTGTGTATCTCCACGCAGGTGAAACATGAAAATGTTTTTATCTACGTGTAGCTCACATATGCAGTTATGATGGCCAGCTGCATATTTTGTCTCCCCGTAGATCAAACATGAACATTTTTTACTCTGTATGTAGCTCAGGTATGCAGTTAGCATGGCCAACTCCATAGGTGTGGTCCACCTTGACAAAACATGAAAGTTTTTTCCTCCACATGTAGCTCACATTTGCAGTTAGCATGGACAACTGCATATTTTTGGCTTCCCATAAATGAAACATGAACATTTTTTACTCTTGTGTGTAGCTGACATATGCAGTTAGCATGGCCAACTACATATTTGTGCTCCACGTAGATGAAACATGAACATTTTTTATTCTGAGCATAGCTCACATATGCAGTTAGCATGGCCAACTACATAATTTGGCTCCCCATAGACAAAAAGATGAAAATGTTTTATCTACATGTAGCTCACGTAAGCAGCTATGGCCAACTGCATAACTGTGCTCCACACAGAGGAAACAGCTCTCAAAATGGTGAAAAAACATTGACTTTTGAGGGATTCAAATTGCAAAGTGATGGGTTTTTTTTTTTTTTTGCTAAAAACACTTAATGCAGCAAAACGAGTATGCAAAAACACTGCAAAACCCATGTTTTTAACATGGTTTTCTACAGCTAACTCTACTAGTGTTTTTATAGGGTGCTGTGTGCATGAGGCCTTATACTTTTTAACAGCACCATGGTACCCTTTAGTAGTGGCTCTGTTCTACTAATCACAGCTTGGCTAAGCCTAGAGCAGTTGTAGGTAAGTATATTTAAATTTTAAACAGACAGCAAAAGGTTAGACTATTATTTTAAAAAGGGCATGTTTAGGGGCACTTTGGGTCTGTGTTAACTCTACAACTTCCATTAAAGGCTTACATATTAGTTTGGGTGGACAAAAAAAATAAAACAAAATAAAAAAAAAAAAAAAAACAGTTGAAAGGTCACTGCCCTCCTATAATTTTGCCACTTTAGCATCAGGGCAGTTAGGTCTTTCCTGGATATATGTTCCGGAGCTGCTTTTATGAACTCCACTAAGCAGAAGATGATTGTTCTCAGTAAAAGGGATGTTTGAAAAGCCTCATTATTTTCAGATGAATAGTAAAACACCTCTGCATGTGGCCAGCTTTAGACTACAACAGCATGTGTTCCTGTGTTACTATGCATAAGTGCTGATAGGACTACTGACAGCTGATGAGTGGATATGTCATCTTAAGTGTTGCTTCTTCTAGCAATATTTCTGTTAAAGAGACAGGCAGTGTGCAGTCTGCTAGATCCTGTGTAATATCTAAAGCAAAGATCATTTATGAAGGCAGTGTCTCTGTAAATGAAATTTACCAAGATAGAAATATTGTATGGTTGCTATAGTTGCTGACTTTCTGAAGATGCTAGTATGTTAAACCACCAACTTCATGTGCAGGTCAGGAAAGTTGTGGAAAAGTCAAAGATCCTTGTATACTTGTTCAGGGTCAGTGATTGAAAATATTGAAGCCAGAGCATCAGCATGACAGACAAGAAACTAGCAGTGGCATACTCTCATATTTTTATTGTTAGTTTTAATTTTAATAGTTTGAATGAAACTAAAAAATACAATTCTTTTTTGAATGATGTAGAACGATGTGCAACCTATGCTTGGCTTATTCCAGAACAATTTTTTATTCAGCAAATAATTTATTGCTGTCGCTTACCTGCTGACTTTTCTATCAGGGTACATTTGCATTACCTGATCAAATAGAATATAACATAATAATGTGAACATAATTAGGATTTACCGTTAAATCGCTGTATATAGTTGAATTTATTAAAGCAGATCATAACCTTGAAAGGCAAGCTGCACGTACAAGGCTCCATTCTCCTTCTTCTCTTCCATTTTTGGGTTTTTTTTACTGCTAAATTTTTTGGTTGTCTAGGCAAGAACGATGTTGTGCATGCTTGTTCAGATGTGCTGAAGGGCTCTTCCAGGCTTTAAGACCCGGCAGAGAACCTCAGCAAATTTGTGCATGCATACAAGAAGTGACACAGTCAAGAAGGTCTGAACCTCTTTTTCTGTGCATGCATGGGCACTGCTCAGGGCCCAAAGCATCTGTGCACACTCTTGACACTCAAGTTTGGCAGCGCTATAGGAGAAAGGCAGAGCCATGGCCATGGGAAATGAAGTTCCTCTTTAATGAATGCAAATCAAGTTGTGATTAACGTGTTTGTACTCTAACCCAGACTTGCATTATGTTAATCCATCCTGGATGGATAAATAAAGAGACACAGAGGGGAAAAAATATATTCTTTGAGAATATACTACTTTATGCTTTCTCTAATGCTACTTATACTTAGGCATTTGGCAACTTTATCATGGATGAAGGCACAAAATCAGTGCAGATTGACTGTTTTTTCTGCTTAGAAAAGATCTTATGACTAGAAACCTAGACTTTTGGTCATGTTACCAGCACTGATGAGAGCTTAGAGGGACAGTTTCACTACAAAAGGTGAACAATTCAACTCTTTTTAGCCATACCAGTAACAGAGTTTTGGAGGAAACCTGTATAGAGATATTAGTAGGCTGCAAATGCAGACCTCTTCTAAATTGTTAGTTGCCTAGCATAATTTATTGGCTTACAGTACTTTCACTGAAAAAGGTAATCCAAGCTTGAGTTTGGACTCTCTTCACTCGTTTCCTGCATGTTCTTGATCTTTGAATAAAGAAAAAAACTGAATTGAAAAAACTGAATTATATATAAAGTATATGGTATGCACATTGAATATATGAAATATATTTATTGTTCTCTCTCTTGTGTAAATGGCCCTAAAATTATTCCGATTTACTGTGAATGTTGACTAAAGCACAAGATCCCACCTTCATCTAGCTGGGCAGTCACTGGCTGGCTGGATGCTTGGTAGTAGACAATAGAGGAATGCCTTTCATAGCTGAGACCTCATGCCGAAGACAAATGTGTAGGCAGAAAAATTGAGCTATGCAAAACCAGCTTCTGTTGCTATTCCTTTGTTGATTAATCTTGAATACTCTTCCTTTTGTCCAATGTGTTTATTTTACAGCCATGATTACATTGGTGAATTCACTACAAGTTATCGGGAGCTTTCTAGAGGACAGTCACAGTTCAATGTCTATGAGGCAAGTTGTATTTAATTAATTATTTGGGGATAGAGGTCACATCTATTTTTTTTTACAAAAAGTGTTATGTAGAAAGAATGCCATTACAAAGACAGGCAAGTTCAGGATTCTTTCCAAAAAGTCTACATGGAGTTTGGTGGAATACTATATTTTTAAATACATTAATCCAGGAATGTTAGCAAGTTTTAAAACTTTAGAAAAAGTTAATGACTTTTTCTCATATGCAAAACAGCTTTCTGCAGACTTTAAAGCCCACCTTAATAAATTGGCATCCTGCATTACGATACTTCTCCATCCTAGCCCACCACCAAATTATTAAAACAAGGGAAGAAAGCAAACAAAGCTGCCATTGGACTCTTTATACACTAAGTGCAGAAAGCGTAAAAGTATGTTTTCAGTGTATTATTTAATACAAGACTATACCCCAAGACTATACACCTGGACAACAGTTTCAAGCAACTGAACAATAACTATTGTCCTTGTATATTAGATCCAAGTGCCCAAGGTTAATAATTTCAGAATACATAAAAATCTTCAGATTTCTGACCAGTTAAATATTAAGACTTCAGCCAATACTGTGACTACTACATTTTCTTACACTACAAGAACAATACAACTATAAAACAAGATTATTTTTGATTTGTAATCCCACTTCAGATTTATATAAAAATGCATCTTGGCCTGAGCTGATACAGGGGGTGAGAAAATCCTGCTTATGAGAGTTTGCAGTAGTCTCAGACATCACTAAATTATTCATTTCTATGAAATTATGTTTGTATCAGCAGATTCAAATCAACATCATGTCTTTCCTATGCTTTAATTGCTAGTCATCCGCTTTTAAACTTGTTTTTGAAAAGATTGAAAGCATTTTCCGTATGTGAACAATTATTTAGTCTATCTAGCTGTAGATAATTAAGATGTTACCATTGTGAGGGCTTCAGGCAAGCTTAGTAGAAACTCCACTTGAACTGTGTTTCACTGCAATAATAAGCACAGACTGTTCTAATGAATATGAAATATACTTGACAGAGAAAATGGTTTATTGTAAGATGAAATTTATAAATATATAAATTTATTTTTGAACGTGATATTTATAATTTGCTGTATGCTCTATTCACAATATGTATATTATAGGTGATAAATCCTAAGAAAAAAGGGAAGAAGAAAAAATATCTGAATTCTGGAACTGTAAGTAACATGATTGGTTGCATAATATATTTTCTGCTTTTTGTTGTTTCTAAATATGAGTATTTTGTTAAAAAAAGAGTAAAGAAAAACTGTCAGATCCACTCAATAGATCCAAGGAATTTAGGCAGGCAGTTCTGTTTACAGTTTGGCAAATTCACTTGTAGCAGCAAAATGGCACAAATTGCAGAAAAAACATATATTACTCAACATTGCATGATCTGCTGCAAACTCCACTTTAAAAACTTCTCCACTCATCCGTATTGTTAAATCTTTATGACTGCAACCAAAAAGTAAAGTACAAAAGCTGTTATCCTAATTTTCACTTCTAATTTTTATGTAACAATATGAGAAGGCAAATTACCAAAGATTTAGTATCTTAAACCAGACATACAGTATGAGAGGCTGTCATTATAATGCATTAATACAAGTTCCTTCAGTTTGGACTTCTTAGAATTCGTTAAGGAAATGATATTCCTACATAAAAAGAAAGTACAGCTTGACAATGTTAAAGGTGACTTTGGTCTGCAATAATCATGGAAGAAGTGTAAAATATTCAGAAAGGAAAATATATAGGATTAATAGGGGTTTAACATTAGTCCTAGGTTACAAGCCATATGCGTAAGAAGAAAAAGGGTTTTTTACACATTCTCTTTTTTGAAAGTGGGCCTTTCTGTATTAGCTTAAAATCTAGCAACAATTACAGTAGTAATGTTCCACTTAATGTAGCATGCTTAATTGGGATATCTTTTTTCTCGAATTTCTCTTTTACAATTTAACATTTGTCTTATGGCATTTGCTGTCCTAGCCCAGACATTGCTGTTCAGCAACTGCTGTCAAGTTGTACCTTCATCTGGAGAGTTCAAGTTCTAATATACTGGTTCTAACATAGATCTCTGAAGTCATTGTTAATTCAAGTTTTATCTTGTGCTGAGTCCTGGTGAAGGAGGAATGATGTTGCCTCTGAAATTGTTAGCTGTGTTTATAAGACTTTTTTTTTTTTACAAACAATTAAAATGATGTTCGACTCATTCATCTGGTTTTGGTGTTTCTTTCTGTATGTTTATGGTTTGAAGTACTGTTTGGTGCCCATCAAGAAAATCCTTGCTGTGTGGGAGCTACCTCACCAGAGTTATTGAGCTTGTTTTAAGTTTTCCTTCATCTGACTACACATCCATGTCTAAAAGCTTCCAGTTCCTCTTTGGGCATGTTGTTCTATAGCCCAAACATCTAGCTAAATTAAATGACTAGCAATCTAGGGTAGAAAATGCATCAGTTTGAATTTGAACTCTGGGAAAATGAATCCTTGCAATAAATGTCAAGCATTTTACTGAATGAAATCAATTCATTCAGTTTGCTCAATTGTGATTAGCTGTGATTGACCACAGCTCATCATATGACACAGATGGGCTGTGATTGGCCCAGTCTGTACCATGAGATCACTGTGCCCAATCACAGCTAGCAACACAATTGTATACAATGGATGGCATGAAAGGAAGCTGTGTCCGAAGGACACAGCTGGTGACAGATGTCGCCATAGAGCGGTGGTGATCCGGGAGGATGTCATATGACATCCACCGGATTGACGAAAGTCCCGCCTGGCCATCATTTTACTATAGGCCAGGCGGGAATTGGTTAATCAGTGTGATTTGAAGTAGCATGATTTCAAACATAGTTCCTGCACTATTTTTGGCTGTTTCATGTGCAACTTGCATTGACATCTGTGCATGAAGTCGCACAGATGTCAGACAAGCCACACATGAAATAGCACTAATCTGCGGCTTTGAAATTGTGCTACTTCAAGTGAAGATGCATGATTTCAAAGCCACATTCAGTGTGAACCAGGGCTGACTGTCCTTGATGTAAACTATCACTTAAAAGTAATCCTTAACCTTAACATTAACTGTATCATGTAACATTAAATTACCCTCTAAATCCTAACCAGTAACACTACTGTCCTAACCTAAACCTTAGCTTGACCCTAACACTGAATTAATCACTAGAATGGCATACTTGCCTTATGAAGCCAGAAATATCAGCCCCAGATGTTACAGAGCCAAATAATGGACATCAGAAGTAATTGCCTTGTGATGCACAATGTTAAAGTCTAGCTAATATTAATCATATTGGTGTTAGGACCCATTTTGTGAGGAGATACAACTGTAAGATAATGCTGTGTTCATGTCTAATTGTTTTTACTTTACTTTTAGGTTACTTTGCTTTCTTTTCTAGTGGAAACAGAAGTTTCATTTCTTGATTATATTAAAGGAGGGTGAGTAGTGTTTTTGTGGATTTCCTTTACATGTGTATAGATAAAGTGAGACATTTTTCACAATTTCTCCAAAAAGTGGGCATATCCACCCAGCAAGAAGATTCTGGTTTTGCTCCTACTACCAGCACACTACATTCTACAGCCATCTGATTTCCCTGGAAAACACATTTTCCAAAAGTTTTGCTTGCTTTGCTTGAATAGCCACCTTCAAACTGAAAAAAATATAATTTTAGAATGCCTGTATCATGCAGGAATTTTGATGAATTTGAAATACATTTTTAAGTTGATTATCATTATGATTATAATGTATGTAAGTACATAATGTTTCCAATATGCTACATGAGTTCAACAAGGCTAAAGGTATTTTGCTGCATATTGTAATTTGTAGTCAGTGTCTGCTGTACCTCACTGCAGTGCCCAACAATAGTCAGCCAACCATTTTTCCATTGTGGCAATGTTCCATTGAAATATACAAGTGGTGGGGAGAAGCACCTTAGTACTTTAAATTGTAAAGCGGCTACGCACAAATGAGGTACCAATAACCCCTAAAAGTCCGTGATAAAAATATATAGAGTGCAGCGCGAAACATTTATCGAAAATCATAAATAATCAATCAGTACAAAAAGTCCTCCTGCAAATAGATGTAAGAGAATGGGTGCTCAGGTGATCAGGTGACTTGATCCTGGTATCCGTGCACGTATGTGATAAAGAAATGCGTACTCACCAGACCCGCATAAAATATGCGCCTTTGTATATATATGGTCCAGATGTCATCCGGTAATGGGTGGTCCTCCCTCAGCTGTATGTAAGGCTGGTGGTCCACTCCCCCTTAGGGATCCCCCTAGTGTGAGGTATGGTCCGGATCCCGGTCCCTCCGGTATATCCAGGAGTAGGTCTGCAAATTAAAGTGCTCCCCCACGTCTGCAACGTTTTTATGCCTTGTCTTCAATAAACCCTAGTTTGTTACCAACTACTACACTATGGGAGTATCTTTGTTACCCCCTGGGGGAGCACTTTAATTTGCAGACCTAGTCCTGGATATACCGGAGGGACCTGGATCCGGACCATACCTCACACTAGGGGGATCCCTAAGGGGGAGTGGACCACCAGCCTTACATACAGCTGAGGGAGGACCACCCATTACCGGATGACGTCTGGACCATATATATACAAAGGCGCATATTTTATGCGGGTCTGGTGAGTGCGCATTGCTTTATCACATACGTGCACGGATACCAGGATCAAGTCACCTGATCACCTGAGCACCCATTCGCTTACATCTATTTGCAGAGGACTTTTTGTACTGATTGATTATTTATGATTTTCGATAAATGTTTAGCGCTGCACTCTATATATTTTTATCAATGTTCCATTGAAACCCTTCACCACGTTTGCCACTTACTGCACCTAGATTTCCAGGAAAGTAGTCCATGTGTGATTTTATAGTCACTGTGAAATTTATGGTCTTAAAGGTTTGCCAATCAACTGAACTTGGTTTGGTGCTTTGTAGTTCACAAGATAATTCTCAACAATATCCTTAAAGGAGAAGTACAGCCAAAGCTTGTTTGGCTATACTGCTCCTGTGTGTCACAGGAGTGCAGTTCGTTCTGCAATCCTGTGACCTGTTTTCAGCTGACAGAGAGCTAAAGTCTGCTATCATCTGACATCATAGAGTTACCCAAGCTGGGGAAAGATCCCGACCATATGGTCTAGATCCACCCAGGAGCCTGGACTAGTACCTGGCTCATCCTTTCAGTGATCCACTGAGAGCCTGAGCCAGGCGCTCCTGCCTCCTCCACAGCTCAGCGCTGCAGTGAGCACGGGGGGGCAGAGCAGACAGCGATAACTGACAGTCACAATTCTCTGCTCAGAGCAGAGGAGGAGAACTGAGCAATCAGCGATGTTTGATCGCTCAGTTCTCAGCCTCAGAGCCAACAGGGAACAGATGCAGCACCAGTCATTGTCATTGATAAGATATCAGGTCTGTGGACCAGAAAAAATGCTATCCTTAAAGCGGAACTTCACCCTAAAAGGGAAGTTCTGCTTTATGTCCCTCTCCTTCCTCCTCTACCACTTTTGATATGTCTTGTTTTTTTGGGGGGGAGCGGGTGCCTAGTTTGGTCAGGTACCTGTTCCCACTTTCACTGAAATCGTCTTGCCGATTCCACTGAAGTTTTCTTCCCCCTCCGAGCTCACAATCTCCAGGACCATTCACACACTGCAGTGAGGCTTACGCACGTGCAGTGAGGAGTTGGCTGTGAAGCCACAAGGAGTCATAGCCAGCTTCTCACAGTAAACATGTGTAAGCTGGGAACCTGCAGTGAAGAACTGGCTGGGTTAAGGACAGCACTGGATCCCTGGACAGTTAGGTGTTATTTTATTAAAAGTCGACAGCTACGGTATTTGTAGCTGCTGAATTTTTTTCTCAAACAGTCTGAAGAACCTCTTTAATCTTGGCGTCATTTTTTCTGGGAAACCTGTCTGAAATAATGAAAACTTTTACCTTCCTTGTTCACTGCTTGTCCAAAATGTTTCATTAATCTGATTTTTAAATGAAGTGTAGACAAAAATATATTTGTGGGCCAACAAGTGGTTTATGTGCCACATTTTTCTGTTCTAGAACCAAAATATTTCTGAGTGACATTTCTTTGATCATGTAATGCAACTTTCTTGCATGGCTGTCCCATTTGCTGCTTTCAGATCTCCAGACATATTCCAGTTGAACTTGGTATACTGGATATGATTCCAGGTTTTTGTATGTTTCTTTCATAAGTACAGCATAGTCAATAGGTATTGAAGGGTGTATATTGCCAATGTGTAACAAGACTGCCTTGATAAATCAAGAAAGAGGCACCATTGTAGTAGGTCATGCTGAACAAGCTGTGAGTCAAAGCTGTGAACAAACTGTCAATGTCAGTAGAGAAAAATATAGGTTGCCATTGTCAACCTGTGCAAAGAAATAGGTTAAATGATCTTGGAAGATTATCAACCTGTGGAAAGACAGACATTTTTATGTAAGCAAACCCCATCCTTGCAGTACTGAACTCAGCAGTTCTGCTTATGATTTGGACAAACCTAAATCTGGCCATAAATGGATTGAAATTTGGGCAGTTCGGCAGGGTTCAGCTGAATTTCAATCCATCCATGGCTATTCCCATTCAAGAGGAGTCAACCTAGTGTTCTATTGACCCAAAAAAAGGAAAAATTTTCAATCAAGCCACATATACACAAATGAGGAAAATATCCAATAAAGTCCACCAAGTGAAAAAAGTCTCTAAAAGGGAAGCTCAAATCAATTATAGATAAGCATAATCCCATGCAGATCCCACAAGAAGCCAGTGCTGTGAAGAAATCCTTGCCACCGGAACACACACACTTCTTTCCAGAAAGACTGGATCTCAGACACCATGAGATATCGCTTCAATCTGTGAGGCTCATCACTGCTGTCATTACGTTTGCTCTATGGCTCCATCAAACTGGTTCCTTTATCACCTCACATCAGCATTACAAGTGGTAAGTATTTATATAAAAAAAGAGGAAGAACAGTACCTCATAGTGCAATCTATAAAAACAAGATAAAATATATTTTGCTTATACACTCACATGTGGATATCAGTAACTCGCATTGACAGAAACAAAGATGGCGCTACTGGAACTTCCACCTATGTGCACAATTACGTCACTGGAAACAAGTTTCACCCAATGTTTTTTTACACAACTGTCAGCATTAGGGAAAGAAGATGGGCCAACAAAGTTTGTCCTAATGTTTTACTCCACTCACACAGGACTGTTGGAAAATTTGTTATCAATCAGCAGTTGCAGCCAATTGGCTGCAGTAAAATGCAAAAAGGTCCAGTACACACATATACATAGAGTGCTATATACCAATACCACAAAAAAAAATATTATGATCAATTAATTAAAGTCCCACACCATATAGTGTGCAAACAAATTCTCCTGGTGCTTCAAAGAAATCTTCATGCTAATTTTTTATTTGCTCCACCACCTTGTGCCATTAATTAACAGAAGGTCTTGTTCTGTTTACCTGGAGCTATATATCCCAGTGGGGTTCTCCTCTGTACTTTCCAGATATCATCCCAATATGACCTTAGCCCTCAGCAGCACATCATCATGTACCAAGGAAAATAAATTCACATAGTGTAGTAGTTTTATTAAAATCAGACAATATAAAAAACAGGTATGCATTCATATGATGCAGTGCCCAATAACTTAGCACTAATACACTCAGCTGTAATGTGTCACTGCCGCTCTGCAGCGCCAGCGTGCGGGAGTGTATTTACACTTTAAGGGGCGCTAACGCATAATTGATAATTTTTCACAAATTTTGGTATTGAGTTAAGGTTGGAAATATACCTAATTTTTGGTAAAGGTTTGATAAGGGTAGGCGCTCAGTTTAAATTTTCTTTCAATTGGATGCAGTACTGTATTGTGACAGCAGAGGGATTCCGCTGTAAGAATACAATACTAGAGCAGGGAAGACACCTCGAATGTGTGGATGGGAGAACCCATTCATTTTTTTTTTGATCAGCGGGCTGTCTGATTAAGAAGAAATTATCGATGTATGCCCAGCTTAAGTTATGAGATGAGGCTTACCAGACATACACATTTCAAAATCCTGATCATTGTCACTGTTTGTGCCTTGCTCGTGCATTGAAGCATCTTCGTGTGTTTTGTTCAAGCTCCATTTCTCTGGTGGCTTTGGTTTTGGCTGATTGTCTTCATGTGGCACTAGTCTTATGGCTGAAGGCAGATTGTGGTATTCAGTTAATTTCTTATTTTTAGCAGAGAAACCAACAATGACATTATTCAGACAGAAAAACAGCCTGTCACGTGATCATTTTTTTTTTTTTTTTGCCATATCATTAGGACAGCAAACAACATTGAGTTCTAAGTTCTTCTGAGTCAAGGTCCAAGATTGACAGCACATCTTGCACAATGAATGTGAGGAGCCCAGGCCTTGTCTCCATCACCAATCTTACA